AACTTCATATTCACTCTATTTTGGACTGCATTCCATTTTTATTAATATTAAAAAAACTGTTAAAACAATTAATGCAATACATAAAATGTGAGTTTGTATTTAATTATTTTTTTTCTTTTTTTAGAAAAGATTAATATATAGAATGACAAAAAACCCCTTTGAGATAAAGGTTTTGTTATATATGTTTCTTTAAATTAAACACGAGTACGTGATCCTTGATCATAATCCTTGCAGTTGACAACACAACAAAACATACCTAGAATTTTTATAAGAATAGAAAAAAATATTTCCCGGTAAATTGTTTCAAAAAAGTGTTTAAATCTTTTATAATTAGTTTTTTTTAAATTTCATCCTTAATAATTATTCTAACCGCAGCATATAGTTTAAAAGGATACAATATTGAGGATATTAATTTATTGAATTGTGTCTTTTTTTCGTAATATTTCAAGATAACTAATTTATAGTAAATTTTTAACATGTTTTTATAGCAGGGTATGATATTAGACACGATCACTATATTGCTAGCAAAGAAAAACACATGATTTCAATATATTAAGTACATGTACTCCTGTTCATACACACAAGTAATAGAGCTAAAGATATTTCGGGAAAGAATAAACATTTGACCAGTGACCACTGAGTGAAGCCGATGAAGCGATAATTGTCTCAGAGTTTAAGATTTCAGCATTGGCCATACATAAACAAACTATACGGCTCTGTTTCATCTAAACACATTAATTCTTTGACACACTAGATTATTCCTTTGAGCCTCGTTGAATGTGTTCTGCTCTACTCTAAAACCATCAGAATTAACAGTCCTGAGCATCTAGTGAAGCACGGATGATTTTCACAGCTATTGTTCTCTTTATCAAATCAATTAATGTTTGATAAAAAAAAAAGCAAATAAGACATTGACTTGGCATATAAAATATACCAGGTCTGTCCAAAACTTTAATTTAAAATAGAGTGTACGTCTCTTATCAATAATGTATAGTTAATACATGGACATGTTAAATCAAGCCAGTTTACAAATTAAAAAATATACCCAGTAATACAAATTAAAAACACTACATAAATATGTAAATTTTTCATATTTTTAGAAAGTATATAGGATAAGTTCAGTGGCAAGGGGGGAGGGGGTATTTTTTAAGGAGCAAATTCTAAATCAAAGTTTCCTGTGTTAGGAAGCCAAAAAAAAAATAGTATGGGCATGGACCCCACCCATCCCCACTCCCTCTCCCCAAAAAATAAATAAATAAATTGAGATAAGTAAATGATGAATAATAAAAAAAAAACAACAAAATACAGTAAAACACGATATTTGCCAACACACTTATGTTGAATTGAACTACAGTGAAGTGCTTTTATTCCCTGTGACTTAATTATGTATTTTTATCTTCATAACGAATTTCGCTCATAATAATGCAAAATCATCCGTCGATCCCTGGCACTGCTCTTTAAACATGTTTTACTTGTATTCAACATAATTAATCTATTTCCTGCCATGTACAGCATTTGATGACATTAGGAATTCATAGAATTTCTAATTTTCCCAACTAATAATGAAAATTAAGACTACTTACTTGATTTGTTTAGGACGTGTACTTTAATCATTCCTCTGAATTGTTGCTGCAAGTGGTGTCATAAGGGTATTCGTTTTGTTTTACATTGAAATCCAGGGCATATCATTTTGTCTAAAATTAAAGGAAATTTCTCATTTTAATTTACTGGTATTTGAAAGTGTCTGACAGCTAATATTTCAGCAGGATTGATCAACTCTGACTAAGTTATTGATAAAATATTTTATTTTAGTTTTTATGCAAACAATGCATACAAAGAATTTTCATAAATTGATATTAATATTATTTGCATATATACCTTAATAAATCCTTAACTGTGAAGAACTGCAACATCCTGTTTTATTCAACAATCTTTCGATGTGATCGATGAGAATCTTCTGAATTGAAATCGTGAATATTTTGGTAGGGTCAGAGATGGATGTGTTCAAGACTGATAACACACCCAAGATTATCAGTGTGCAGTGTTTTGATTGACATTTCTTCAGTTAGTGGCACCACGTGTTTCCATTCAAATATGTATGGAAGGGTCGCAGTTGCACATGTGAACAGCCATCAAGTAAATGCAACTGTCGTTTGAAGGGGAATTCGAAATTGGAGAATTTATACATTGATATATCTGTGTGTTATACTGTGATAAAGTTATATAATTAGTTTTGGTCAAAAACTTGAGGTGCGTGATGAAGTAAGTAGAGACATATGCATGATTTTCGAATGTCAATTGATGTTCAACTTATAGAGAATTTACTGGTCAATGCACTGACTTTTCATAAATAAATCTTGGATGAATACTAAAAGAGCTAAGGGTAACAATACTTTTCCTGAAAGATTTTTTCATTTAATAAAATTTCAATTGTTAAAGAAAATTAGCATTTTTTAAGTGTAAGAAAGCATTGCTTTATACAACAATTTTATATCATAATGGTAAATGCAGATGTCCAGGGGAATGGTATAACTTTTTTGATCAATTCCTTGTTGTAGATTTATGTCTCTTGCATGATTCAAACAGTTGCCCTTTTTCTAATTTAAAATAAAAATAAACATTTACTCTTTATTCAGCAGATATACATTCCTATATCCAGATAAGTGACCTAATGACCTCAAAATAAAATGTGATCATGTATACTCCTAAAGGAGTGGTACCAATGAGTTTAATGTATGTAATAATAAGAGGCTTTTCACAAAATTGGGTGAAAAATGATTTCCTAAAATATCAATTGTCAAGAATGACACGTACTTGATCTTGTGATCGAAGTTTATGACCCCCTAATCAAAAGTGGTCACATATTTCTTAGGAGGAATACAGATCTAGTGCATTAAATTATTTTTCAAACATTAGAATCTCAAGTTACTTAAATATTGAGTAAACAATACTTTTCTATTTCTAGATCAATTTGAGCCTTGTGCTTTCACCTTGTAACCAAAAATCAGTAGTGGTCTTTATTCCTTTGGGAGTACCAGTACACTAAGTTTGATGTCTGTAAACCAAAGGGTTCCCCAAATTTTAAGCAGACATTATTTTTCCATGTCAGAATAGTCTCAACCTTGAAATTTGACTTTATGAAATCAACAGGATTATCTACACTTTTACGTTAGGGAGTACCTGGGTGTACAGCTTTCATCAAATCTCTGGTCATAACAAATGCATCTGAAATTCAGAGAGAGGAACGTTCCTCAAATCTCTGGTCATACCAAATGCACCAGAAGTTCAGAGAGAGGAACGTTCCTCAAATCTCTGGTCATAATAAATGCATCTTAGTTTAGAGAAAGGAACGTTCCTCAAATCTCTGGACATAACAAATGCATCTGAAGTTCAGAGAGAGGAACGTTCCTCAAATTTCTGGTCATAACAAATACACCAGAAGTTCAGAGAGAGGAACGTTCCTCAAATCTCTGGTCATAACAAATGCATCTGAAGTTCAGAGAGAGGTACGTTCCTCAAATGTCTGGTCATAACAAATACACCAGAAGTTCAGAGAAAGGAACATTCCTCAAATCTCAGGTCATAACAAATGCATCTGTAGTTCAGAGAGAGGAATGTTCCTCAAATTTCTGCTCATAACAAATGCACCAAAGTTCAGAAAGAGGAACATTCCTCAAATCTCAGGTCATAACAAATGCATCTGTAGTTCAGAGAGGGAATGTTCCTCAAATTTCTGCTCATAACAAATGCACCAAAGTTCAGAGAGAGGAACGTTCCTCAAATGTCTGGTCATAACAAATACACCAAAAGTTCAGAGAGAGAGAATGTTCCTCTATCTCTGGTCATAAAAAAATACATCTGAAGTTCTGAGAAAGGAACGTTCCTCAAATCTCTGGTCATAACAAATGCATCTGAAGTTCAGAGAGAGGAATGTTCCTCAAATTTCTGCTCATAACAAATGCACCAAAGTTCAGAAAGAGGAACGTTCCTCAAATCTCAGGTCATAACAAATGCATCTGAAGTTCAGAGAGGGAACGTTCCTCAAATGTCTGGTCATAACAAATACACCAAAAGTTCAGAGAGAGGAATGTTCCTCTATCTCTGGTCATAAAAAAATACATCTGAAGTTCTGAGAAAGGAACGTTCCTCAAATTTCTGGTCATAACAAATGCATCTGAAGTTCAGAGAAAGGAACGTTCCTCAAATCTCTGGTCATAACAAATGCATCTGAAGTGTAGAAAGAGGAACGTTCCTCAAATACTTAACAAATTCTTCAAAAAGGAAACTTGTAGAGACACATATAAGGATTTTAAGACCAAAATGACTTCAGATTGTAAACCTTGGGTCAAAAAAAGGGAATTTTGATTTTCCCTTTTATTTTTGGATTGTGTTATTGTTAAGATATTAGAAAGGTTGAGATCTTAAACTTGTACGCGTATGTGTACTTGTACATATTTTGACGTACACGTACACGTTTTTTTAAATTTGTCTGTTGAGATTTTTATGACGTGAAACATGTACCTGTAGACCGCAATCGGTGTCTCTGTTTCAACTATATAGATGGTTTTTTGTCGTCAGTTAGTAGACAAAACTTGAAATAAGTGCTCGTAAAAGTAAACATCCTATATAATGTATTACAATTACATTTTCACACTTAAATTGGTTAATTTTTATTATTAAAGCTACACGTTTTCACATACGTGTAGATTCCATTCTGCAAATTTTACGAACATGTAGCAATCTTGACGTCACTAAAATTGATGACGTTATACACACAAAATTTAGGTTATTCCCCTACGAGACGTACACTTACACGTTTGAAATCTCAATCTCTCTATTTTAACTTCTACATGATTGTTTGAATAAAAAAATTTCTATGATGGCGAATTAAAATATCATTTTCCAATCTATCAAGGACAGGAATTTTAAAGAAAATTTTTCAAAACATTGCAGTATAAATATATTTTCTTTAAGGTGATCAACTTAAATCTCTGTCTTACGTTGAACTCTTTTTTGAATCCTTCACACTCGTTTTTCTTGTTTTCTCGGATGTAATCAAACAGGTCGGCCACTTTGATAGGACTGCTCTGTTTCTTGGTGTTGACGTTGGCATAAATTGGTTCATTCAGGTTGGGATCTGTGTCGTCATGGGGATCAGACATAGAGGATTCTGGTTAATAAAATTAATATGTAATTAAATCACTGACATATAGGCATGCCTTTAAGTCTCTCCTTCATTCAAATAATAAAGTGTGTTACTTTCTGTCCTAGCTTATAGACCAGAAAACTACATTTAGAGAGCAATAATAATGTGAAATCACATATTTTTGAGGGATCAAATTTTCCTGGTTTGAGGAAAATGTATTTGTTCATTTGGATTTGATTTCATGGTGAAATAATTGTTTAGTAGAAATATATGTCAAAAGTTGCATTTCAATGGTGGTTATAAATTCATAGGTCTCCACATACCTTGAAATCTACGAATATTAACCCCTATGAAAATAAGTGATTTCACAGTATTACAGTTAACTGCCTACCATTAGCGATCAGCTGATCCGTTTCTTTACTCTGCGTTAGTTCCACAGGTCGCTTCTCTTCATCTTGTCCTTTTTTACCAAACGTTAGAGTCTGTAACTTTCTACGTCTGTAAAATAATGTAATAGTGCAATAAAACCATGATAGATTTATGTACATGTATGTAAAAAACGTAAATTTCAAATTTTAAATCTTTACTGCTGAACTTAAAATTTTAAAATAGTACACAATCCTTAAGAAAATAAAACTCTGTGGGGACAGCAGGACTTGTACTAGTATCCTCCAGTGAAAATCCTATTGATAAAAGTAATATTTCCTGCGTGCCTTGTAAAATTTGTCAAAAGTAATTCATCTCGCCAATGTATTTAACCCACCTGATGATGATAACGACGATTACAATGATGGCTATAATAATATAACCCCCTCCAGAGATGACACCTACCTGATGACGATGACGGTGATCACAATGACAGCTATAATAATATAACCACCTCTGGAGATGACCCCTACCTGATGATGATGAGAAAGTTTACAATGACGGCTATAATAATATAACCCCCTCTGGAGATGAAACCTACCTGATGACGATGACGGTGATCACGATGATGGCTATAATAATATAACCACCTCTAGAGATGACACCTACCTGATGACGATGATAATGACTACGATGACAGCTGTAATAATATAACCACCTCTGGAGATGACACCTACCTGATGACAATGATAATGACTACGATGACAGCTGTAATAATATAACCACCTCTAGAGATGACCCCTACCTGATGACGATGACGGTGATTACGATGATGGCTATAATGACCAGTACTGCCACCACCCCTCCAATGACACTCCCCATCGATGTGTTGTCTGATAACTCCACCGGGACCAAATCTTTAAATTCGGATAAAATGTTTAATTATCATCATATGTCCTGACTGCACAAATCAATCAACACTTAGGCAATGTCTATAAAGGTAGATTATTCTAGAGTTCATAGTGAGCAGTTTATTTATTCTTTCACCACTACAACTCACCTATACACAGGTCCCCAGTAAATCCCTCCTCACACCCCCCAGTACAAAGCCCGGTCTCCTTATCACAGGGGGTCATACCGCGACACGCCCCACACTTACTGGAACAGTTCTCTCCAAACGTAAAGTCATCACAAGCTGCCAATTAAAAAAACAGAATCAACACCTCTCTAAGGGAAAAGCTCTTCAAGAGGTTCAGGAATTGAAAGAGCAATTGTGAATATAAGAACTATTTTAATTCAAGCCTTTGAGGATTATAAAATTATAAATTATCTAAAGTAAATGAATTGAGCTTTGACTAAAAAATCCAGATGGCTTGGAATGAAATTACCTATAAGAAAGACAAAATTAAATTATTTCGTGAAAACTAAAATCTAAGAGTTACTCTGCTGTCATAACTTCAGATCAATAAAGCACAGAATCCCACACCACACCTACCACCACTGAAATGTTTGGATCCTTACCTTCCAGGCATTCGAACCCCTGCCAACCAGGCTTACATCCACCTGAGCACACCCCTGTCACAAAATGGCAGCTTCCTGTCATACATTGGCCACATGTCCTGCTACAGTTGGTCCCAAAATATCCAGCTTCACATTCTGTAAATGTCATGTTAAATATAGGATTTATCTTTCACAAAAAAAACAACATTGTAATGTGACAACAATAGGACATGAAAACATTAAATATAACAAGAAATCTGTGAGCCAATGCTCACTAGTAATACCCCCGCTCTGATGTAAATCAGGCTTGGGGTCAATTACTTTGAAATGTAATTAATTACTTTCAAATACATTGATAATTTTGTCAGTTACTTGCAATTACAATTACATTGATTTTTTAAAATGTAATTAATTACTTTCAATTACTTTGACAAATGTAATTAAATACATTTCAATTACTTGAGTTTTATTTAAAAAAAAAATTATTTAAATTTTCTATAGTGAACTTTTTTTTTCATTTTTTTGTTCTTTGGAATGAGAGGGGCTCACACCTGTACAAAATTAGACCTTTACCAAATGCCTGGGGCAGTGTGACACACTGTATAAACAATTTAAACAATTAAAATTATAAGACATTTAATTATTGTACAAACACAAGCCCATGCTACACCAGTATGGTGTATGGCAAGATCAATTTTGTTACTTTCTCAAATCCATATTTTTGAAAGAAATAGATATTTCTCACAAATCCATAATTTTCTATCTTAAAATGAATAGAATATAGGTAAATCTAAAAAGGGGTGTAGTTAGTCTAATAACTGTAAAAACATATTAACTATCTTAACAATCATTGTTATTTGCAATTGGCAATAGGTAGAATTGAAATTTTTAAAAGTGGGAATAGGTACTAAGTATAAACTTACCAGAATAAAAATTATGTATCAGTAAACAAAAATTTTATAGACTTTCATTTTGAAAAAAGTAATTGAAATGTAATTGAAAAGTAATTGAAAATACATGACATTTTTGAAATGTATTTAAATACATTCAATTACCTGTAATTGAAGGCAAGCTCAAATACAAATTACTTCCAATTACTTTGAAAAATGTAATTAATTACGTTCAATTACAATTACTTTATTCAATTACCCCATCCCTGATGTAAATAAGCACTATCATATTAATATACATAAAATTCAATTACAGGCAGCTGCACAGAAAAATATGAAGATGACATGCAGATTAATTATATCAAAATTAATCCCACCATAATAGCATGCCTCAACAAAGAGTAAAATAAAATTTCAAGCATCCGCTATGAATAACTAATGAGAAAACTGCGACAAAGATTTGTTATGTATGAAACGGACAAACACACAGACAAACAGGAAGTTAATATCGGATTTGAGCGAAAATGTATCCCACCATATGGCATGCCTCAGAGGAGATTGTGTTAAAATTTCAAGCATCTACGATGAGTAGTTTCTGAGAAAACTGCGACAAAAAAATTTGTTACGGACGGACAGACAGACGGACAGACACACAAGGGCAAAACAGTATACCCCCCTCTCCTTCGGAGCGGGGGTATAAATATAATGTTATACTAGTACTGACCTGTTTTACAGAGAATTCCTGTGTAGCCGTCCAGACATCCCCCCGCACACTGACCGGTCCGGAGGTCACATGGAGGTCGGCGACACGCCCCACAGGTCTCCAAACAATTCTCCCCATACTCTCCATCAGCACAGCCTACAAAACAAACCGTACATAAAACACAAACAATTCACACAAACCCTCCATCAGCACAGCCTACATAATAAACTGTACATAAACAACAAACCCACAAACAATTTCTCATTAGATCTGCATTTGTTCCCCTTACCTGTACCTCATATGATTCCCCACTTACCTGTTTACACAGTTTCCCCTTTCCTAAACCTCAATAAATCCCCACTTACATGTTTTACACAGTTTCCCCTTCTCTGTACCTCATTAAATCCCCCACTTACCAGTTTTACTTAGTTTCCCCTTCCTGTACCTCATTAAATCCCCCACTTACCAGTTTTACACAGTTTCCCCTTCCCTGTACCTCATTAAATCCCCCACTTACCAGTTTTACACAGTTTCCCCTTCCCTGTACCATATTAAATCCCCCACTTACCAGTTTTACACAGTTTTCCCTCCCTTGTACCTCATTAAATCCCCTACTTACCAGTTTTACACAGTTTCCCCTCCCTTGTTCCTCATTAAATCCCACCAATTACCAGTTTTACACACATTATATCCCCCTCTTACCAGTTTTACACAGTTTCCCCTTCTTTGTACCTCATTAAATCCCCCACTTACCAGTTTTACACAGTTTCCCCTTCTCTGTACCTCATTAAATCCCCCACTTACCAGTTTTACACAGTTTCCCCTTCCCTGTACCACATTAAATCCCCCACTTACCAGTTTTACACAGTTTTCCCTCCCTTGTACCTCATTAAATCCCCCACTTACCAGTTTTACACAGTTTCCCCTTCTCTGTACCTCATTAAATCCCCGACTTACCAGTTTTACACAGTTTCCCCTTCTCTGTACCTCATTAAATCCCACATTTACCAGTTTTACACAGTTTCCCCTTCTCTGTACCTCATTAAATCCCCGACTTACCAGTTTTACACAGTTTCCCCTTCTCTGTACCTCATTAAATCCCACACTTACCAGTTTTACACAGTTTCCCCTCCCTTGTACCACATTGAATCCCCCACTTACCCGTTTTACACAGTTTCCCCTTCTCTGTACCTCATTAAATCCCCGACTTACCAGTTTTACACAGTTTCCCCTTCTCTGTACCTCATTAAATCCCACATTTACCAGTTTTACAGTTTCCCCTTCTCTGTACCTCATTAAATCCCCGACTTACCAGTTTTACACAGTTTCCCCTTCTCTGTACCTCATTAAATCCCACATTTACCAGTTTTACACAGTTTCCCCTTCTCTGTACCTCATTAAATCCCCGACTTACCAGTTTTACACAGTTTCCCCTTCTCTGTACCTCATTAAATCCCACACTTACCAGTTTTACACAGTTTCCCCTCCCTTGTACCACATTGAATCCCCCACTTACCCGTTTTACACAGTTTCCCCTTCTCTGTACCTCATTAAATCCCCACTTACCAGTTTTACACAGTTTCCCCTTCTCTGTACCTCATTAAATCCCACACTTACCAGTTTTACACAGTTTCCCCTTCTCTGTACCTAATTAAATCCCCGACTTACCAGTTTTACACAGTTTCCCCTTCTCTGTACCTCATTAAATCCCCGACTTACCAGTTTTACACAGTTTCCCCTTCTCTGTACCTCATTAAATCCCCCACTTACCAGTTTTACACAGTTTCCCCTTCTCTGTACCTCATTAAATCCCACACTTACCAGTTTTACACAGTTTCCCCTTCTCTGTACCTCATTAAATCCCCCACTTACCAGTTTTACACAGTTTCCCCTTCTCTGTACCTCATTAAATCCCCCACTTACCTGTTTTACACAGTTTCCCCTTCTTTGTACCTCATTAAATCCCCAACTTACCAGTTTTACAAAGTTTCCCCTTCTCTGTACCTCATTAAATCCCCCACTTGCCAGTTTTACACAGTTTCCCCTTCTGTGTACCTCATTAAATCCCCGACTTACCAGTTTTACACAGTTTCCCCTTCTCTGTACCTCATTATATCCCCCACTTACCAGTTTTACACAGTTTCCCCTTCTTTGTACCTCATTAAATCCCCCACTTACCAGTTTTACACAGTTTCCCCTTCTCTGTACCTCATTAAATCCCCCACTTACCAGTTTTACACAGTTTCCCCTTCTCTGTACCTCATTAAATCCCCCACTTACCAGTTTTACACAGTTTCCCCCTTCTCTGTACCCCATTAAATCCCACATTTACCAGTTTTACACAGTTTCCCCTTCTCTGTACCTCATTAAATCCCACATTTACCAGTTTTACACAGTTTCCCCTTCTCTGTACCCCATTAAATCCCCGACTTACCAGTTTTACACAGTTTCCCCTTCTCTGTACCCCATTAAATCCCACATTTACCAGTTTTACACAGTTTCCCCTTCTCTGTACCTCAGTAAATCCCACATTTACCAGTTTTACACAGTTTCCCCTTCTCTGTACCTCATTAAATCCCCCACTTACCAGTTTTACACAGTTTCCCCTTCTCTGTACCTCATTAATTCCCCCACTTACCAGTTTTACACAGTTTCCCCTTCCAGCCTGCTGAACACTCTCCATCACAGTCCCCCGACTCAAAATCACACGGTCCCGATTTACAGTTTCCACACTTGGACACACAACCATCTCCATAGTTACCGGGCTCACAAGCTGTCGTGTAACAAGATGTGCATGATTGATAAAGATAGGTACTCAAAGATTACGAAGCTCACCTCGACGAATGTTATCAGTGTAAGTAATGCAAATCTCACATCATATTTTCTTAATAGTTAGTATTTATCCTGACAACAATATTCTTGCAAGTTGTGTCTAACCCCTTACATGGCATATACACATTTCTACACATGTGTAGTGTAAACAAATATTCATATCTTTGTTAATACTGCAGATATCAAGGACTTCAAGTTCATTGGGATTGATCTGTTCCCAAAAATTTAACATGGTCTCTTGTTTGGAAAATATAGGTCAGATCCAGTATCCTAAGCAAGTCTGGTAGTGTCCATCCCTAGATGCATCATCCATGCAAGTTTGGTTCAGGTAGGGCTTATAGTTACTTGGGAAAAGACCTGCTTCTAAAACTTTAACCTGGGATGCCGCACTGATGCCAACACCAACGCCGGATGTATAGCATAAACTCATCTCGACTTCGTCGAAGTGAGCTATAAATGATACACAATAGACTTGACGAACATTTTATACATGCATTTCACAAGAACACATTTGAATATCCTTCTTGAATAACAGTACATTATACTCTGACATGTATAATTGATCTTCATAGAACAAAGTTATTCATCACTGATAAGTCTGAATTTCAGAGTGTCAATAAGGGAACACATTTCACAGCTTTGTGCATTCATGAAATACCAGAAAGGACTTTATGACTGACGTGTTTCACAGGTTGTACTGAGTCTAAGTGACTTACGTGTTTGACAGGTTGTATTGAGTCTAAGTGACTTACGTGTTTGACAGGTTGTATTGAGTCTAAGTGACTTACGTGTATGACAGGTTGTATTGAGTCTAAGTGACTTACGTGTTTGACAGGTTGTATTGAGTCAGTTTGGATGTGACTTACGTGTTTGACAGGTTGTATTGAGCCATCCAGGATGACATCCCAATGGACAAGTCCCTAGACGAGTACACGAGTCCTCATTCTTACAATGACACTCGAACTCACACATCTCACCAAACCTTCCAGAATCACAACCTACAACAATACATTACATACATACCAGTAAACATCTCCCTGAAGCTCCTGAAGTAAGCTTTTAACAATTATTACAATGATATAACCTATTTCTGCAATCTGAGTGACTTATACATGATCTTCATTATATGCACTGTATGTATAAGAAGAATATCATATGGTTAAAAATTTCATATGGTAAATATACTTTGGTTAATCTCATGGAATTGCATGTAAGACAATCAAATGGTTATTGTCTAAGTAAAATGTCATATGCCTATTAAAACCCCCCATTGGAATATCACATGACTCCCTAGCCTAAACTTACCTCTTAATGGAATATTACATGACCCGAAATATTCATTTTTTTCCATGAAGTTGGTGAAGCACCATGGTCCTTTGCCTTCCAATGCCTCACTTCTTATTTTGAAGTTCAGTGGATTTCGACAAACGGCACCAGGGATTGCCTGATCGGGAAAATCTGATGATTTCAATCCATACATTTTGATAAATATGGTGTTGTTCCATGGAACACATTTCTCTCCATCACCAGTTCTGTCTGTGTTCCCCTGATATCCATGAGCCTCCGACGAGTAACGGAAAACCGATACTGGCAAAACCAAATCAGGTATTAAATGAAAAATATAATTCAATTTTCCTTATTTTTGTCTCAAATTCAAAACCTACCTATTCAGAATAAATGTTTTGACTTTCTGCTGAATTGCTTAAGATACTTAAGTTCAATTTTTTTTTTAATTACTCGCAAAATTACATAAGCAGATGAGAACAGCAACTTTCAGATTTACATTTGTTGTAACTGTTGTAAAAACAAAAAAAATAATATCTGTATTCACTTCCAATGTGTATCATATCTATGACATCTTGAAATTCTTTTTCTTATTATCATATAAAATACATCGCATGCCTATACATGCTAAGCAACTATGATTTTGAATGTTCAATATGCTAACAATTTCTTATGGAGTATTAATTTTTTAGGGGTGGGGATGGTACTTTTTTTCATGACTGTTTTTTCACTGGAATCACTATTGTCTTTTACTTACAGAGCTGACATCCAGGGCCGTAGCGGTTCTGTTTACATCCTGAGGGACAGGCCCCGGTGACTGGGTCACAGCTGCCCTCGGCACAATGACACAGAAACTTACAATGCCATCCAAATGTACCAGACTCACAAACAGGCACTGAAAAATAAAAAACAAAATTAACTTAAAAAATACAAGTTAATCTGACTTTGGAAAATTAGTTTTTAATCATGTTAATAGCTAACTTGTGAATTACAAGAGGCCCAGGGGCCTTGAATCGCTCTTCTGATAAATTGTACAACCTATCACTTGAATTTGAAGCCTCTAATCCTAAGTATCCTAAGACCCAAGTTGCATCAACTGACAAAGTTTGATGATTCTTAGCCAATTAGGACTGAAGATATTTCAATAAAGCTATAAAAAACCATGAGTAGGTCACAGTGACCTACTTTAAGATTGAATTTTTCCGAGGACTCAAGATGCATTAATAGACAAACTAAGATTGAAGATTCTAAGCCAATAAGTATTTGAGATATTCAAAAGAAGGTCACCTTAACCTACTTTTTGGTCTACATTGTTGGAAAACCCAAAATGCATCAACTGACAAAGTTTCATTATTCTAAGCCGATAAATACCTAAGATACTTAAATATAGCCATAAAATGTCTAACGTAGGTCATCGTGACCCACATTTTAGTTGACATTTTTCAGAGTCCCAAGATGCATCTGCTGACTAAGTTTGATAATTCTAAGCCAATAAATACCTGAGATATTCAAAAGTAGGTCACCGTGACCTACTTTTTGGTCGACATTCTCTGAAAACCCAAGAGGCATCAACTAACAAAGCTTGATGATTCTAAACTGATAAGTACTAGAGATACTTGAATAAAGCCATAAAATGTCAAAAGTAGGTCACCGTGACCTACTTTTTTTTTCAACATTCTCCGAAAACCCAAGATGCATCAACTGAGAAAGTTTGATGATTCTAAGCCAATAAGTACCGGAGATACTGAAATATAGCCATAAAATGTCAAAAGTAGGTCATCATGACCTACATTTTGGTTGACAATTTTCAGAGTCCCAAGATGCATCTGCTGACCAAGTTTGATAATTCTAAGCCAATAAATACCTGAGATATTCAAACGTAGGTCACTGTGACCTACTTTTTAGTCGACATTCTCTGAAAACCCAATAGGCATCAACTAACAAAGTTTGATGATTCTAAACCGATAAGTACTAAAGATACATAAATGTAGCCATAAAATGTCAAAAGTAGGTCACTGTGACCTACTTTTTGGTCGACATTCTCCGAAAACCCAAGAGGCATCAACTAACAAAGTTTGATGATTCTAAGCAAATAAGTACCGGAGATACTTAAATATAGCCATAAAATGTCAAAAGTAGGTCACCATGACCTACTTTTTGGTCGTCACTCTCCGAAAACCCAAGATGCATCAACTCACAAAGTTTGATGATTTTAAGCCAATAAATACCAAAGATACTTAAATATAGCCATAAAATGTCGTAAGTAGGTCACCGTGACCTACATTTTGGTCGACATTTTTCAAAGTCCCAAGATGCATCTGCTGACTAAGTTTGATGTTCATAGGTCTGAAGGTAATCAAAATATGCCTTTTAAACAATTTGAAAACAAATGCCTGCAAATTTCTAAAAGTAGGCACAGTGACCTATTTTCTCATAAAAATGTTTTAAGATCCCAAGATGCAGCAACTTACAAGATTTGATGATTCTAACCCTCTCAGTGTCTGAAATAATGGGATTAAATGTTTTAAAAAGGATAAGTTATAAAGTTCAAAAAGTAGGTCACAGTGACCTACTTTTAAGTTGACGTTGTTCAAGGACCCAAGATGCATCAACTGACAAAGTTTGATGATCATAGGCCTTAAAGTGTCCAAAATATGCCTTCAAATCAATTTGAAAACAAATGCCCGCAAAATTAAAAAAGTAGGTCACCGTGACCTACTTTTGAATTAACATGATGTGAAGTCCTAAGATGCATCAACTTGCAAGATTTGATGATCCTAGTCCTTATAGTAAGCAAAATATAAACATTTTTATTAATTGTAAATTTAGGTCAACTTTGAAGTGACCTTGAGACCACGCCCTTTGCCCCAGGGTCATGCCTTGAACAATTTTTTATCTTCAACATATCCTGATCCTTGTATGTAAGTTTGGTGAAAATCTGCCTGGTGGTTCTGGAGAAGAAGATTTTTTAGCAACCAGTACTTTTGGTTTTGTTTTCCTGATTATCTCCCCTTGTTTTAGGGTCCCAACCCTTATATTAGTATAAATGGTAGCCCTTGGGGCAAGGATACCCTGTGACAAATTTGACACTGATTGGCCAAGGGGTTCTTGAGTTATGGCCCATATTCTAAAAAGTTAACGCACACCGCACAAATGACCATAGCATTAGTTCTTTGAGTCTTTGGCTCAGAAGAGCTAAAAATGCTTACTGGAAAGATTATTTTAAGCTACACCTTTGTGTCATCTGAGTCAAAATTACAATATTATAAGCAACTAGATGCTGTCATGAGACAGTAATACCCGCACTAAGGTGTTTGCCTCTAAATGCACACTTCTTCATATTGGGCTTTACCAAGGAAAAAGCAGGGGCGGATCCAGCAATTTTTGAAAGGGGGGGTTCCAGGGTTATGCCCCTCTAACCCCCCCTACATATTCTCAAGCAAAGATTCACAGACTTGTATGGAAAGATCTAAGGTTGTGGTAAATACTATCTATGTTTTATGTCTTTCAAAAAAAACGCGTACCCCCATTCCGAACAAAATAAAAACAAAGCAAAAAAAAAAAAATCAAAAATTACGGAAGCCTTAAAATTGAATGGATTCGTTTCACTGTTGAAGATTATAAAGAATTTTCTTTAAGAATTTGAAAAACCTTTTTGGGGTGGGGTGCGGGTGGGCTTTAAAACAAAGAGTTACATGTTAGTTCGTTCAATTGATCAAGATATGATAAAAACGGTACATATTTAGCAAACACAGCCAAAGATCGCGGGAATCTAATATCAAATGCAACCATTCTCTCATAAAAAATATAATAGAGAAGGTGATTGGAGGAAACTAAATGTGTGAGAATCTATCTATTCAATAAATAAGACTTATAAATATATAATCTAAGAAAACTTTTTATCCTCTCTCTCTCTCTCCACTTGGCAAAAAATAAAGGGGGGGGGTTCCAACCCCCGGACCCCCCCTCTGGATCCGCCAATGAAAAGTCAATATAATTCAATAATTTACAAAATACATGTATTCATCAAATTTAGCATATTATGCTCAGGTGACCATGTAGCTGCAGATCTGGTTTTATATATTTGTCTTTGATCATAACGCTACAGATCCCCATATGCAAAAAAGGTGCAATTTACGCGCAATATTTTTTGAGCACTTTTGGGCAGAATTTCTCCACTTTCTAGCATTAGGCAATCAACTACCTTTCACTCCCTAATTTTAGACACATTCTCTGGCCAATATGTATATTTTGTCCACCTCCCAGTCATTTATAGTAATCTCTACAGGCAATAAACTCGCTTGATGTGAATTTTCAGCAATCTAACAAATAATTTTAATCAAGCGAGTTTATCTCGAGTAGAGACGACTATAAAGGGTTGGGAGATGGATAAAATACACAGATTGATTAAATAATGTGCCTAGAATTAGGGAGTGAAAGGTAGTAAATTGACCGATGCTGGAAAGTGGAGAAATTCTCCCCAGAAGTGCGCAAAAAATATTGCGCCGTAAATTGCACCTTTTTTGCATTACAGGATCTGCAGTCAAAGACTAATATATAAAACCATAACGCTACAGACCTGCAGCTAGTGACCATGTGACCCATGGGCCTCCAGTTGATAGGTATTTCATATTCTTAATTCATTACCAGTCGGAAATTAAACTACAGAATTAAATTAATGATGTAAATTAGGTTTGATAAAAGGGGGGGGGGGGGATTTTTGGCACATAATTGGAACTTTTTAAATCTATTTTCTCATATAGATTAACAACAAATAATATTATTCAAATTAGTGTAAAGCGTTTTTGATGAATTTTTCAATATGTGCAAAGTTTATTTATATTTGATTAGGCAGAAACTTCTTGAAAGCTGCCATATACACAATCAATTTAATAGTCAACCCCCACCCGTCTCCCATCAACACACACACACAAACACACCTTATTTGTCTGTTTTTGCAAATAGGCCTAGATTGCAAAGCTAAAATAAAACATCTTTTGTAAATGATAATTTTCAATTTGTTCTTGCACTATACATGTATCTGAACACCTGCATCACATTGGGCTTGCGTCACGTACCCAACTTAAGTACTAGTTTTACCATTGGCATTATCATTTTAGATTTCACTGCACGTGCAGTAGGATACTAGTGTGCATATTTGCATATATGTCGGTAGGAATTATTTCATTTTGTGTTTTAACTGGATTATATTTCATGAAGATGACAGGGCCTAAATAATAACAATCGGTAAGTACAAGTTTTGGTATAGATTTGGGTAAAATAGTCTGAAATGCAAACGGTTAGGTTAAAGTTTAAAGGATCAAAGGTCATCCGATGCTACAATAGACGAATTTCACATTCTGAAGAGTTATCCCCCGTTATCAACGTTACATTCAGTTACAAGATCCAGAATTTTTTTTTTCTTGGAGGGACGGGGGGGGGGGGGGGGGGGGTAGGGGGGGGGGTTCCAGACCAGAATTTCCTGAGAAGCAAGAAATAAAAAGAAATTATGGTTTGGTCTGTTTTCTTGGGTGGAGGGACACTTACGGCATCCAAAGTCATTTTTTATTTCCTCCAGTACATATTATAGTCCTGCAAATTCCGGGGGAAAGGGAGGGGGGGGGGGGTGTTGAGGGGGCGATCTCCCAATCCATTTCCCTGTCCCTGTAATGACAAATGATCATGTTACTCCTAAATAGTAGGAAACTTTATCCATTTGACTATACATAATATTGTGTTATTATGTTATGTAAATTTAATGGTATAAAGGTTATGAACCCCTAGAGGTCATCCCCACTCTCCTAATGAGCTGGAAATGTTCACAATATGACTGCAGTAAATTAAATAAAAGCGCATCAATGATAAGATTACTTGACATTTTATTCATGAATTTGT